AAGATTTTGGTGATACATATAAAAAAAGAATATATGTCTTTATATCTCTGACTTTATCTATCTATCTATCTATTTATCTATCTATCTATCTATCTATTCTGAGAGAGAGAAAGAGATAGGGATAGATAGAGAGAGACAGGACACGTGCTGTGCATGTGAGTCTGGTAATCCATTAGTTGAAATGTCACAGGGCTAATCCTTGATTCTTGTCTTTTCTATCTATTTATCTATCTATCTATCTATCTATTCTGAGAGAGAGAAAGAGATAGGGATAGAGAGAGAGAGAGAGGACACGTGCTGTGCATGTGAGTCTGGTAATCCATTAGTTGAAATGTCACAGGGCTAATCCTTGATTCTTGTCTTCGCTAGGATTTTGGCCTACACAAACTTTCACTTTCTGGTAGTGAAAAGGGAACTAAACTCAAAGTCACTGTTCAAAATTTGTAGAATAACTTTGTGTGTAATTCCTCATCTCTGAAAATTGAAGTTTTAAAATCTTTAAAGACTTCTTTAGCCCTAAGAGCCTATGATTCTTTGTGTCCAGTTTTCTCTCCATTCTTCATGGTAAATTGACTATCTTTAACTCTAATAATGTTAATTATTTTGTTGAAAGTATATTTGACTGCTAGTAATAGGGATACATCAGCTTTCTTTTAGTTAACATGTGTCAAGTATATCTTTAGCCATCCTGTTATTTTCAACCTTTATCTTCATTTTTTTGATTTACAGTGAGGAATCTGATGACCTCTGTTTTTTAACTGACTAGTTTTATCCAATTACATTTATTGTGATTATCTGTGTACTAAATTTTGTTATTGCATCTGTTTATATGTGTCTGGCCATTTTAATGATTCTTTTTTTCTCCTTTTCTGCCTTCTTTTCAATATTTACTTATTTGTCTCTATTAACTTGGAAGTTATACAATCTGCCTCTGTTATATTAGGGGTTAATCACTCCTCACCCTTTGACTCTATGGTTTCTTCCCTGATCATGTATCACCATCTAGTGGATCCATATCATCACTTTTTACAGAGCAGGGAATAGGATAAAATGTTTGCATTGAGATAATTTGATCAATATAGACAACCCAACAAGATACTCCACATTTCAAATTATATTCTGGGACATGACTAATCCCAAAGCCTCATTTCTATTATATTCATTTGTTTTGCTTCCCACGTAGTCTCTGTGTAACTATGATTTTAATCACCGAAGGAAGCCTTGATGTTAATGTGACCCTCATCTTGCCCTTCTCTTTGAAGGGGGCAGATATGCCAGAGTCCAGAATTTTCCAATGATTCTATTTGATAGTTAATTAATGGCCTTCTGTGGTTTCCATAGCAATGTCACGCTTTGCTGCCAGGCCTTATCCAAATGGGCATTCTGTTCACTCTTCTGTCTTAGCATCAGCATATTAATCAGATAGCATAGGTCTTTGGTTGCTGCATCAAATTGGTAAGACACTAATTGAATTAAAATCTCACTTGAAGACTTCAGGCTTCTCTTTTTTCTACCTAGAGGAAAATCTCCTTGGCTCAAAGGGCCAATGAGATCCAAGCAGGAGACACTGAGAAATCCACAGAACTTTGTGTCCTTCATAGCAAAATATTTTTCTCTCATCTTAGATAAGTATTTTAATGCCTAAATCTTTCTCTCTCCTTGAAAATTTCTCTATTTCCCTGACCTTTCCATCCATTAGATGTTGCTGTATTCTCTCTGTAAGGTGAAATGACTGCATTAAGAATTTCAAGGTGAAGGGAAGACCCTTTTCCCACACATACAGTTCGTGAAGTCTGAGGAAGAACTCAGACTTGAAGGTCCTAATTGAATTGTGATCAGGATTAGGTAGCATAGTACCTATGAAGATTGCCTAGCAATCTGTAAAGTGCTGTGCAAATACAAGTAGTTTTTACATTGGAATTCTTTGGAAATGTTTGAAAGGTAGGAATAAAGGAGAAAAGAAAGAGAGGGGACCAACTAGCAACAAATCTTAAATTCATTTTTCAGGCCATAAAGATTATGAATGATTGTTTTCACTTCTCCTACAGAGTCAAAATCCTTGGTAGTTTTACCATTTAAAACAACATCTTTTAAAATTGTTATTATAACTAATCCTTAAATACATCATACATATTTATACCTTTGTGGTTTTGTATTCACTGTTCCTTTATTCATTATCTTCTTTTTTACTTGCCCAATTCCTGATCATTTTCTTTTTTTTTTTTTTCCTTTTTGTCTTTTTTCATGACCGGCAACAGATCGCAACCCTCAGTGTTGCTCCCGCACCTCGCTCAGCCAGTGAGCAGCCGGTCCGTATGTGGGATCCGAACCCTCGGCGGGAGCGCCGCCACACTTCCCAAGCGGCGCACTTATCCAGTGCGCCACCGGGCCGGCCCCTGATCATTTTCCAACATTCAAAATGAACGTGTCCCTTCTATAAAGCCTTTTCAAACCTAATAAATAGACTTAATAACTTCTTCAGGGCTTTTATCTATGTGCCTGACTCCATGATGGCACCCACCATGGTGTACTATAATTGTTGCTTATATATATATATATATATATATTGTTTTTATATATAAATACATATATATATTTAAACGCATGTATACATACATATATATATACATATATATATACATATATATATACATATATATATACATATATATATATACATATATATATATATATATATATGCATGTATGTTTGTATGTCTGTCTTTTTGTTAGTTTGTGAGTGGCGCCAAAGCATGAACACATTTTATTATATATCTTTTATTTCTGACATGCCCCATTCATCTACTAGGTATTTTAAAAATGTCTGATGATTTACTGGCCTTCTGCAAAATCTTGTTTTGATGGATAAGCTGTGATGTGCTCTTTGGCATGAAGGATTCCCAACCTAAATGAACACTGAATCCTCTCAAAAATCTGAGGTAAAAAACCTAAGTTAATGTAAACTGCATGTTAAGTGTTAAAGCTGGTATAAAATATATGCCAATGCATACTAAAACCTGTAATATTAAAATTGTAAATTATCATTCTAGGAAAAAAAAGGACCCTTTCCTCCACACACTTAAGCAAACTAGATAATTCTTCACCTCTTACACATTGAAGACCTCTCTTTGTTTCATCTTAAAGTTCATCAGAGGTAGTGTTCACTTTGTGTCATACTGTCACAGACCCTGGTGACCCCTGAGATAGGTCTTTGTATTTTATCTAGAATAGCATTACCATGACAGAGAAATGCTCATTCCAGAACTGCAGCCAGTGGGTGAAGGTATGCAAAACTGGTCAAGGTATGAAAGGATATTCTAATTATTAGATATGTTTATAACATCAGGTAAAATGGAAGCTATTGCTCAACTTCTGTGAAAAAGGAATTTAAGGAAAGTGGAAGATAGAGATAATTAGCACCCTGTCTCTGCAATGGCGCGATCATTGAGCAGTGCTGATTTCCCAAGGGTAGTGAAGAGGAGATTTGCCCTGGGTGAAATTTTAGACTGGGTACTTCTATTTTCTCTTCCAGCCCCAAAATACTGTGATTATATATTTTGCTGCCAATGTAGAAATGAGAGTCCAGATGTTTGGGAATCACTTCTTGCAAGTATCACCTTAGAAAAAGATAAACTCAGAGTTCCTGGAGACTAGGAGGTGATATCTATCTGCTATAGGTTGAATTGTGTCCCCCCACCCCCCGAAGTTTCATGTATTAGAAACTTAACCCCCACTGTGACAGTGTTAAGAGGGTGGGAAATCCTGTTATGGTAATCAAAAGGTGGGGCCTTGAAGAAATGATTAGATTGTGAGGACCATGCCCTAGTGAATGGATTAATCCATTGATGGTTTGTTGCTGGTCATGGGTGCAGTTCTGAGTGTGTGAGAAGTGCTCTCTCTCTCTCTCTCTCCCCCCCCCCCCCAATTTCTGCCATTTTGCCATGTGACAACCTGCATCACTGTAGAGGCATCAAGAACAAGGTCCCCATCAGATGTGTTCCCTGGACTTTGGACTTCCTGGGCTCTGAAACTGTAAGCAATAAATATTGCTTTTTTTAAAATTACCCAGTTTTAGGTATTTCTATTATAAGCAACAGAAATGGACTAATACACCACCCAAGTCTTCTACAGAAGTACTTTCAGATGAGTTTTCTTTCTTGAGTCTCTTATTCCAATTTAACTCCCAAGTTCCTCACAAGGCTTTTGACCTTTCACAGATGCCAAAGAATTGGCAGTGTTTATATTATTGTGTGGTGTGTGTGTCTGTGTGTGTGTGCGCACGCGCGTGTGTGTGTGTGTGTGTGTGTGCATTTGCACATGTATTATGAGGTAATCAAAGGCTAATTGTTTTTAAATTCTTAGCTGGGGAAGTCTGTCTAGTAGACCAATACGGTACTAAAACTTGCCCAGTACTATTTCATTTGAGTCATTGATTTTATTCAAACTAAAACTATCTTTAATATGAAAAACACCTCTTGGAAACCGGACAGCATTTCTTTTTGGAGAAAGAAGGTGGGAGAATTTCTTCACACACACACACACACACACACACACACACACACACACACACACACACACACACAGTCTATCACAAACAACCTCAGACTGAAAATTACATCATCCCTTGGCAGCTTTGTTGGAGGGAAAAACACAAAACTGGCCACAGTGATTTGGAAGAAGGTGTATTGCCAAGGGAGTCAGAAGGTGGGTTCAAATTCTTCTCCAGGCAGTAACTTCAGATGTAATCATGGGTTTGCCATTCCTCTCTGAGCCTGTTTGCCAAACTAAGGAGACTGATGAGTTGATAACTAGGGTTACTTATTTTATTCTGATTTGGGAGTGTGTCTTCTCCCAATCCCACCTATTGGCCAGCTTCCATTTGCTTTAGTTTTTTTCAGAATAAAAGATGTCCTATGGGTAAGATAGCACTGTCATTGTGTCCCCACCCCTGTGTGAGAATAAGTCAAAAGAACCACAAAGAATTAAGCAAACAGAGGGAAGAAATTTTAACCGAAGAAATATCTTCTTTATCTATGTCCATTTCCTCCCACAAGGAAAAATGGCAGTGTCAGTTGTACATTACATATATCTTTCTTTTCAGTGTTTAATCTTAGCACCTGCACAGCAGAGATCTTTACAATTCATTGCATATGCTCTCCCCTTTCTCCCCCCCTCAATACAGCACCTGAGGCCTAAGCAGCAACTCCCTCAAAGCTCCACAAAAAAGGCTGAGACCCATCTTCATGACAGAGTATAGAAATAACAAACATGCCCAACGTTTTATACGGTTGCTAGAACGGTTTAGTTCCCAACAAATGAAGATTTTCCTCCTTCTCTTTGAATATTAATTACATCTTACAAATTTTTTGTGTTTCTGTTTTGTTTGACTTTGTTTCGTTCTGTTGTATGTATCTGTACAACAAAAGGGAAGTCCACGGCCCGGAGTCCCGGTTAGCAGAGTTTGGCTGTCATCTGGTCCGACTGTTTGAGGATCTCGGTGTTGTAGAGATCCAAGGCGTGGTTCACCCTGATCATCTCGCTGCTGGTCAGTTTCAGGCGGTGTTTCAGCATACAGGAGAACAAATCCAGCTGGGGCTTCCCCGGGGCCACGGGAGGGGCCAGGCGGTTGATTCGGTCCCGAATGTCCAACAAGAGGAGCATCACGGACGAAGAGGAATAGAACTGGCCTCCCTGCGTGTAGGACTGGTTGACCTGCTGCACGGCGCTGCGCAGCAGGTCGGCGTTGAACCGCAGGCTGTACCCAAACACCTGCACATCTGAGATCTTGATGTAGAACTGCCTCTTGGAGGGATCGGACAGGTCCACGGGACCCTGGCCAGTCTCATTACGCAGCAGGGTAGGTAGCCGAGTCCGACTACGTAGGTAGATGTGAACCGTCTCAAAAAACGTTTTCCACCGGTTGCCCAGCAACAGAGTCCAGTTGTAGCACTGGCTGTTTTGGAGACGGACCTTCTCCCAACGTGGGTAGCCAAATTCCCCGAAGGGCATGTTCCAGCCCTCCGAATGGCTCCCGCTGAAGGGATTGACGTAGACGAAGAACATGGGGTCCAGGCTGCTGTTGCGCATCTGGCAGATGCGCATGGACATGCCGATCACCATGTGGATGAAGTCCATGCGGTTCTTGTTGCTCTTGAGAGTGAGGGACATGCGCTTGCGCCACCGAGGGTCGAAGAAGGTGTCAAGGCGGATCTCATTGCTGATGAAGGTGGTGTGGACGTAGAGGCGCGAGTCCATCTTCTGCAACAGGTACTTCAGCTCCAGGTCCTGGAAGTCCAGGTCGGTCTCGAAGCTGATGAACTGCTCACTCCGCTCCGAGTCCACGTTCTGTGGCTCACACCGGCCTCGGTACAGCTTGTAGCCCTTGTTGCAGGAGCCGCAGAGTGAGATGTTGGCCAGGCTGCACATGGCACAGCTGTTGTTTCCACCTATGATGCAGGGGATGGGGCGCTGGCACAGCGTGGTGCTACCATGACACACGCAGCTCCTCTGGCTCTCCAGGAAGGTTCCCCAAAACCCATTCTCATTGCAGTAGAGAAGCGACTGGACCCTTGCAAGCCACTGCTGAATTGTCCTGAGAGAGAGAAGGAAAATGAAGAGTGTTAACCACTATGGGTGGGGCTGTGAGTTATGGTTATCCAAGTGATCGTGCAAATTGGAGCTGCCCAAAGAATGAAAGAACTGGGTAGAGAAGTTATGATAGCAAGGGCACTAAACATAAACTGTACGAATTACAATGTAGTTCCTTGGAATGCCACAAACCAGCTGTATGACATTGCACTTTACCCTTTTAATGTTCCATGTCCTCATCTGTAAAGTAGAAAGGTTGGAGTAAATGTTCTTTGAGGTCCTTCCAGCTGTGTAACTCCATTATACAAAGGCCCCAAAGAAGTTTGACTCAGGAAATTAAAGTGTCTAAACTCAGATACCTCTGGTGGATAACAACAAATTGTAAAAAATGAGCAATAGAAAGAACCTTAGGGGCTATTTCCTTTAACTTACATCAGATATCTCAGCTCCCTTCACGGATTCCTCCCATAAGGTTATACAACAGGCAACAACTTGAACAAAAACAAATTATATTTTATCATACTCTAGAAATTATGCAGTGCTTCCATTTTGGTGATTTTGCATGACCATCACAGTGGTTTTTCAAAACATGCAAAAAAAAAGTGTTATTTCCCCCTTTTTTCCAGAGCTCCAAACTCTCAATTCAGTAGCATTTCCATTGCAATGTGTGAACCCTCTTCCCACTGCCCCTCAATGCTATAAATGATATCAAAGTCTATATCAGTTCCAGCCACTGAAACATTCCAATGAAGACGGATAATAAGATAAGAAGCAAAAGAGGAATAGGTAAAAATATGTGAGGCAGTCAAGCTAAGCCCTCTCATCTTTCCTCATTTCTGTGCAAGTTACCTTTTGGCTGGCTTCTCCTTACATATGTCTGGCACTTTTTACTCTTCACAGGGCGTACTCACTCCCATCTTCTCACTTGAGTCTCACAACACCCTGGAAATAGCTTGGAACTTGAAGGCAGTCAAAGATTGTTTAAGATCCTGGCTCTTCCACATGAGAGCAAGGTAAAGCTGGGTAGTTTCCCTCACCTTCTCAATCATCCCAGCCACACAGGGCTGTTGTGAGGATTACATGAATTTTTAAGCGAAGGCTTAACTCCACGTTTGGTAGGTTTTAAGAGCTCGATAAAAGTTAGCTCTTGTTATTCCTGCAAAGGGACCATCAACTCTATTTTATAGACAGGGTGATAGCAGCTCAGAGGTGAAATGATGAACTCAAAGTCATACGATCAGTGAGTAGAGAAGTCTCCTGGATCATAGCTACAGGTTTTTGCATTATCTATCAAACCAGAGCCAAGAAAGCCTTTCCTAAGGCTGCAGTGTGTTGTGCTGATGTGGACGACGATGATGATGATGATGATGGTGATGGTGGTCCATGTTCCCTTATTTATGATGCTGGAAACAGAAGCCAATTTGCATTTTACTCCTTATGGTAGGAAGTGTTAGCAATCCACCTGTTCTATCATTTCCACTGATAAGCCACAATCACCAAACATCAAACACCAAGAGCTGGCGGGGGAGGGGGGTTGGCAATAGAACCTAGTGTTGGAAACATGGGTATTGGCCCAAGCAGAACTGAGTTCAAAGCTCCAACCTGTTCTATCATTTCCACTGATAAGCCACAATCACCAAACATCAAACACCAAGAGCTGGCAGGGGAGGGGGGGTTGGCAATAGAACCTAGTGTTGGAAACATGGGTATTGGCCCAAGCAGAACTGAGTTCAAAGCTCCATTCTGTAACCAGGAACAAGTCGCTCCATCTCTTTAAGCCTCAGCATCCATTTCTAAAACGAGGATACTAACACCTATCTTATGCAGCTGGTGAGAGGATTCAGTGAGATAATATATTTAAAGTGCTTAGAAGAACCTGGCATAGAGCAATTACAAAAAAGGTAATAGTAAAAAGTACTCTTATCCCAGAGAATAAGCTCTTCCTTTGAAGGTATTGAGATACTTTCGGGATTTCACTATCTCTCTGGAGTCTGAGGAAAACCATTCTGTTATATCCATTTGAAAGCGGATACTGTTGAAATGGTTTCCCAACATGCTCTGCTTTAAAGGAGTTGCTTATCAGCTGAGAGAAAATGGTGGATAATTAGTGCACTTTTTGAAACCCTCTGCCTTTGAAATTTACAGTACCATCCTCGCCCCTGGCAGTAAAACCTCCATCACGACATCCAAAACATTATATCAAAACTGTCTTGTTTCCATGTCAGTTTCCCCTCCAGGCTCTTAGGCTTGAGGGGCCAGGTCCCTCCTTCCCAGGAGCATCTAGCCCGGAGTCTGGCTCTATACAAGTTTGCTGAACAAATGAATGTGTGCTGAACGAATGAACGAAGCATGTTAACATTGTCCTTATTTTTTTATTAAAAAAATAAAAACAAACTTCTCCCTCTCCCCTTGGGACCACAATATTAGTTGTTTTCGATACCATCCACCCACACAGCTCCCGGCTTCTCGGGCTCTGCTTCGTGAGACCAATCCTATTACAGCCTGGAGAACAGCAGCAGGCCCAGCCTTCGGGAAATGGAGCTGGAATAACAATGAGCTGTGCGACTCCCACCTCCCAGACCAGAACATTGACTGAATATTGGCTATGAGTCATCTGATATTTCTGTGAGCCGCAGGGCCCTCCACACGGCTCTGAGTGCGTGGATCCATCTGACGCCAGCGTCATTTCAAAACGCCTCTTTCAACTGCCCCACACTTGCCCCTGTCACTCCCTCTCCAAATGACAGGACAGTGCCCCATTTAGAGCTCCTCGGTTCCCATCTGCAAGGCATTCTATAACCCCGTAGAGCGCCCCCTTTCTCGTGTCTCATCATTGGGACCCTTTGTCAGGATCACAGCCCCCACTCCTTGAATCAATGCCTCATTGTGGCTGGACTCTCAGAATCCTCAGTGAGGGAAATAAAAAGATGAAAGTTCCTGGTGATGCTGCAACAAGCAATGGGGCTAGTGGCAAATTAGGATTCCAGCCCTGTCGAGCAGGAGGGATTGGGGACAGAGGCCCTCTGAGACGCATTTGCGAGCTGCATGGCACCTGCATCTCCTGACCTCAGAATAATCATGAGGTTGTGGGCTGTATCAAAGAAATCATTAATGATACAGCAGGGGGACTTAGAAAGGAGGTGGTGTTCAGGGGGAGCAGGGAGCACGAGGCCGAGGGAAAGAGGAAAGAAAAAAGAGAGGGAAAAGGTGGAGAATGGGGAAGGGTGATAAGAGAGGAGAAAAAACCTTGGTGCTAGAGATGGTGGGGAAAGAGATGGAGCAGATGAGCTGACAGCACCTAGGTCGAAAAAGACACTGGAGGGGAGAGTGGGATGGAATGAACTTAGAGTGGGTAGGACGCAAGTGAAGAAATTCAGCCAAGTCTTCACTTGTCCCAGCGCTCAGATGCAGGGAATATGGACATTGGGTGGGCCATACGAGGGTGGGCTAGACGTCCATCCCCCTCCCTTTCTAAAGAGGCTGAGGGGGAGGGTTGAGACGGGAGAGCAAGGTTACCAGTGAATGTTGATTCTCAAGGTCAGTGAGCTTTCCTTTGCATTTCAATAATTCATTTGAGAAGATTAAAACCAAAAAACCAAGCTCAATCCATTTATTTTGTGTTTCTATTGAACACAAGCAAATTCCAGTAACAAAGAATAAGCCTCAGTCAGATCAATCTCCTACACCTTCTCCAGCTCCAGCCAGTTCTTTGAGTTGTCATCATTGATAGTCAGAAACCCTGCAAGGCTCAATTGCAGGAAGCACCGGAAACCAGCTGAGGGTTTCTGTGGTTTACAACTATTGAGCACTCACTGTATACCAGGCATGGTCCTGGAGGTTCTTCGTACTGTTCCCTGAGCAGCATGATAACCAACTCAAAGTCATACAGATGAAGAATTTCTGTGGTTTACAACTATTGAGCACTCACTGTATACCAGGCATGGTCCTGGAGGTTCTTCATACTGTTCCCTGAGCAGCATGATAACCAACTCAAAGTCATACAGATGAAGAAAACGTGTCCTTGAGAAGTGAGATAACTTACCTGAGACTGCAAAGCTATACCACATTCAAATACCAGACTCTACCTCCGGCATCGGTGCACTTCCTGCTACACACCATAATGTAAAATTGTAACTAGAAGCAGAGCAAGAAGAAGGAAGCAGGCCATGAGAAGAGAAGTAAATGCAATAATGGAAAAATACTGAAAGTTTGAGTGTGTGAAGGGCCTATTATCACATCCCTCGCTTCCTCTGGACCTGCCAGGGTCCCTTCCCTCCAATCACAGATAATTGGGGCTCACCGACAAGTGCATAGGGAAAGGCTGGGGACCAGGGGTAGGAGGGACTGTGAGCTATAAATACCATTTCCCAGGCTAGCTGGTGACAGCCTGCCTCAACCCTGGCAACAGAGAAGAAGCTTAATAGGCTGGCTGCAGAGGGGAGGGTCTCACAAAGGCTGACACAGCCCCACTGTGAGGCAGGCAGTGCAAGGCAGGCAGCGAGGACCAGGTTTTAAAATGCTTTACTCAGTCCCTAGGGATCCAAAGCATCTTCCATTTGCAGCCCAAGCTGAACTCCAATCTATCCAAATCAGCATCTTTTTTTTGGATGGAATTTCAATTCATTTTGATGGGTCTGAAAGGAGGAAAGGAAGGAGGCACAGGAGGGGAGGGCGGGAAGCTGCATTTTTATGTCTAAACTGGAAACCCTGTAGCCTGATTGATAGGCACGCATTGTGGCTCCATGTGAAGCAGCTTGGACCATAGAAGCACAGAACTTTCTAGAAGAAGGCTTGGAAATGTTCAGTCCTTCTCCCTCCTGTTTAGAACTGAATGCTGTGTCTTGGTTGCTGAGGTGGAATCAATGTTTCTTCAGTGCGTTCTACATCGTGGCCTTTATCCTTTTGTCCTCACATTAGCCCCAAGAGCTAGGACTCCCTGTGATTTCCATTCCACCCATGAAGGCATTGAAGGCCAGAGAGGAACTGTGACTCACCAAGGTCACA